CAAAAAACCAAAAAAAAAAAAAAAAGAATAAAAGTTTTTAAATTACTTATAATCCCTCTACACAAGAATGATCATTGTTGTATTATGTAGTCTCTCAAACCTTTAAAAATGTCCTCTAGGTCTTGTTTAGACATTTGTGGCTTAACATTTTGCATATCATCAAGTGTTTTAAAGCAATAAGAGCATAAGCAAGTTTGCCATAAGGATGCACTATTATTCATATGTTTTGTACATGAAAATGTGTTCAGTTTGAGTGGTTTTGGGGCTTTTTGAAGAACTGGCAGTAGAACTGAGTGTAGTTGAGCTTTAGTGTTAGAATGCATATCAATACTGTTTTGTATGATAGCCTTCTGGACTCCTGCAGCATTTAAAAACATTAGCTGATGGCATAGTCTTTTTTTTGAGACGGGGTCTCTCTATGTAGTTGAGACTGACCTGGAACTCACTATGTATCCCAGGCTGGTCTCTAACTCACAGCGATCCTCCTGCCTCAGCCTCCCGAGTGCTGGGATCACAGGTGTGCACCACCACTACCAGCAGTAGTCTCTTTTCATATACCATGTTCATGAAATTCAAAGGAAGATAACAAGATGTGCCTTGCACTTTTCCTTAGGTCACGCACATTAACCTTTAATGCTTTGTCTCTCCTTTTTAGAATGTATTTGCATGCCTTTTGTTTCTAGAAAAGTACAAAACTCTGCCATTGTACATTTAAGTTTGCTGTTTAGAAAACACTTGATGTTAAACAAGGTGTTATATAAAATCTTTCAAGTTTGAAATGCATGTGTTAGCATAATGTTAGTTCATCATGATCATGAATAATTACATTTCATGTCCAAAGAAACCTTTAAAATTCCAACTGACGAAATATGTTTGCCAACCTCATTAAGTAGTCTAAAATAATATTCATATTTAAATTCGAATGTGGGAACTCTTGTTCTCAGATATAACTTCACATTAGAACTGGCTTCTTATAAATAGTTTGACTTTCTGTCAGGATTTGAATATTCTTGAATTTATGTATTAAAAATCTTTTTGGAGAAGGCCACAGAATAATAACAAATTGGGTCATGTTATCATATTGATTCCCATTTTACTTTCAACAGTGAATTTTCTTTAAAAAAGTTTTAGGTAACAATTAGAAGTACTTGAGGAAGCATTGAATTTTTTTCTGAATGTGGTTTATAGATAAATCTCCCATATTTCCCTCAGAAGTTAGTGATATATAATCTTTTTAAGAGCAAGGACAGTCAAGAAGGTTATATAATTCCTTCCCATTTCATTAGCAATGTTAATTCTTCTTATGGCTTTATTCTAGGAGTAATATTTTCAGAGTGATAATTTTTTTTTCTATTAAAGAACAATGCTACTGAAATTGCGAGTCACATAAAGTAAAAAAAATCATTTTGGATGCTTTGAGAATGGAATATAAAATGTTCAATAATGTGATTTTAAAAATTGAGATAGAAAAAGATTGATTTAAATGATAGCTATACAAGACTGGTAAGAAAGCAGGTGTATAATCAGGGCAAGGAGAGAATGGCAGGTACAGTAAAGGGATCATTCCTTTTTTACTTATTAATCTATTTTGGCAAATAATTTTGCCCTTCTCCCCATCTCTTGTCTTTGTATGTCCATGGTACACAGGAACCTGGTGACTTAGAGAAAAATGATTTTCTTTAATAGAGAAATGTCATTGTCTTGGATCTTCTAGGCTCTTCTGTTAAAGACCAGTAGAAACAAAACATAAGTACGCTAGCCTCCTCTGTGTTAGAGACTTTGCCATATCCAGATGAACAAATGATTTGTGATTTTGGATAAAACTTTCTCAGCTCCATTTTAAGCGAGCAACTCTACATTCCCTTGAAATGGCCGGTGTTAGTCACTTCTCTATTGCTGGGACAAAATATCCAACAGCTGCAACTTTAGGGAAGAGAGGTTCATTTGGGTTCATGGTTTTAGTGGGTTCAGGGCAGAAATGGCCTGGTGGGAGGGCATGATGGGACATAGTCGCTTAATTTGTGACGGACAGGAAGCAGAGAGATGGCAGCGTCAAGACAAGAGTATACTCTTTCAGGTCACATCCCTGCTGGCCACTTCTCCAACCAGGCCCCACCTCCTAATAGTTCCTTCAGCTACGGACTCATGGGTGAATCCATTGATGAGTGAAGCACCCCATGATCCAGCCGCCTTGCAAAACATACGAAACTTTTGGGGAGCGTTTTAGATCTAAATCTTACCTTACTGATTTTGTCATGAAAGCGGCTTTGGACAGTATACTCGTTAGTAGTTATTGATGGTTTATGTAGCATCATCAGTTTTCTGCAGTAGTAACTATGTTTAGTTAGCAGCCATGAAGTTTCCCAAATGTTTTTTTAAAATAACTACTGTACTTTAATAATTTCAAGGTTCAGATATAAAATCGACATCTTAAACAAGTATTTTCAAGCATAGCAGTTAATAAATGACTAGCTGCAAAAAAAACCCAAAAAACAAGAAAGAAAAAAACAAAACATAGTTATGAGCCCAGGTGCCAAAGAAGATCCTTTTATGGTACTTTAAAAAGTAAATCTTTAGTCTCAGAAGTCTGGAGGAATTCTTGAGCCCAGGAGTTTGAGACCAGCCATACAACATAGTGTGATCCCATCTCAAAACAGACAAACAAAACCTGTGTATACTTATTTTAAAAAATGTGTAAAAGTAAGTTGACTAGTTAAAAAGATACTGCCATTTGGAGTGGAAACTTAGAAGGATAATAGTTACTAAGTCAATGATTAAAGCAGAAAAATTAACCTACTTTTGTGAAATCATTGTAAATATGCACAAACGGGAGAATCTCTTAAGTACAGTAGTAGTGAAAGAACCATGCTGTAAAATCCAGTAATTATTCTAGAAAAATAATTCTCTGAGGTTTTTCTTTTTCTAGATATAATTTTTTTATCATCTTATACCCTGTTGGAGTTGCTGGTGAACTTCTTACAATATATGCTGCCTTGCCATATGTGAAGAAAACAGGAATGTTTTCAGTAAGACTTCCTAACAAATACAATGTCTCTTTTGACTACTACTATTTTCTTCTTATAACCATGGCCTCATATATACCGTGTAAGTATATATTTATTAGTACTTTGATTTAACATGATACAGAAGTTTTTAGAAAGATGTAATAAGCTAGTTTAATAGGCATGGAGAGATAATTTGAAATAATAGCTTATAAGCACTTTAAGACTTCTGTTCAATCCCACATTTATTCCTGATGTAGAATAATTGAAGGAGGAGTGGACAAAGATGTTTTACCGGCTATAAGTAAAAAGGTAAAATATCAATATACAAATGATTACTTTCTGAAAGGCATTTAAAATGTGCTTAGTATGATTAACTTTTAAAGGAAAAGAAAAATCATTTGAAAAGTCTACATATCTCAGTGCACTGTTTTATAAGCATTTAGAATTATGTGTCTGAATATAATATTCTTTTCAAGAAAATTTCCCATCATTTCTGTTTGTTAAGTATACTTGGGAAAATCATCAAGGAGCACTTTAATCTTATTTGTGTTGCTCTGTGTACTTGAAAATATTAAAGCTGTTTTACTTAAAATATTTCTAATAATTTAGCTAGTTCACTAATTTTTCATCATCTCCTGCAGTAGTTGGAATGAATTGGCGAAACTTAACCCACTTTAGTACTAATAGTGACATTGATGGGTCAGATTTTTATAGTCATTAGCAGGAAATAATGAAAGAAAAGTAAGGTGGTTATATACCTCTGTATGCCCATCTCAAAACTACAGATTTTGGGCCGGGAATTTAGCTCAGTGGTTCTGCCACCTGCCTTGCAAGCACAAGGACCTGAGTTCGATCCCTGGCACCAAAAAACAAAACAAAACAAAACTACAGATTTCGATGTCAGAGCTATGAAGAGGGAAAGGAGGGAAGTTTACAGAAGCCAGTTCAGGGTTGCTGAGGTGGCTATGTGTGTCCTGCTTGTCACCACCCCTGCATTTCTCAGCCTCGGCCCCGAGCCGAGCCAGGATGTGTGTTATTAGTCACAGGTGTGAGCATTGACTTGCCATCTCTCTCCTGACTACTGAGGCGTCTCCGCAGAAACCTAGATCCCAAAAGATAATTGTCTGAGGATACAAGGCAGTAACTTTGTGCTTTTTTTGGTGGTACTCAGGATTAAACCCAAGGCCCCACACATTCTAGGCAAGCATCATTCTACCACCGAGCTGCACTCCCTGCCATTTTTAAATTTTATTTTGAGACAGGGTCTTGCTAAGTTGCTTCAGGCTGGCCTTGAATTTGCAGTGCCTCCGCCTGCCTCATCCTCCAGAGTAGAGAGGATTACAGATCTGCATCACTGTGTGTAGTCCAAACCATCATCTTTTGTCAGTGTTTTTTAGGTAGCGTGGAAGGCCTAGACTCTGCCCTGTGCCAGCAGCAGTTTCCCAGCTTACCATGTAGTTACTGAGAGCCCCACTGCTCAGAGAAGTCCCCTAGTCAGCCAGGGGATGTATTTTCACTCCATTATCAATATTAGCAGAGATAGCAACTAAGTTTACCTTGCTTTTGAAACCCTTTGTTAATTATAAGTATTAAAAGTGCTTTGTGAGTAGTTTTTATGCTCAAAAGAAGTAGCTTCTCTCACTTACCAGTGAGAGCATTCTGGATGAAAGTGTCAAGTGAATTGCATAAAAATCAACCAGCTGGTAACCTCAAGATTTGAACTTAAGCCCATGTTATCTACTGAACTCTTCAGGATTCTTCTACAAGTATTTACAATAGTGGGTCAGTTAGCTTTAAGTATACATGACCTGGATATATTTAGACCAGAGGAATAATATGATAGTTACATCCTTGGGAGGTACCCAAGGTTAAAAAATAAGAACTATTGTGCATTTTTTGTTCTGTAAACGAAGTTCTGAAAATAAGTTTTTTACGCGGAGTTGCTTGAGTGAGATACAGCTTGTTCTGTGAAGAAATTTATCGGTTTGGTTCCTCTGTTTCTTATTTCCACATTTCTGTGGTTTCTAGCTGGTGTCCGTTTGTTTATGCACCAGCGTTTTGACTGTGATTGAAATCGTTGGTTCAGAATGGCTCAAAGTAGTCTCCAGATCTGGGCAGATGACCATCCGTCCCGTTGTCATGTGTATCTCTATGCGTTTGTGTGTACCAGCCTTCCCTTAGCCTCTGCTTTCAGGACCATCTACTCTGGGCCTGTTGAGAGGACACCATGCTGGCTCTTCCCAGGTCACAGGCAGCTCCCCTCTCTGTAGCACATTCTGCAAACCTGGGACCATGGCATTGGCCTGCCCAGGCCTCATCCTCCTGTCACCCCAGGGCCGAGCATGTTGCCAGTGTGTGCAGCGCTGCGGTCAGGGGTTGGCTGTTGGTGAAGACTGTGGAGGCTTTGGTCCACACATGTGCAGTCTGCAGCCACTGGAACAGGAAAGGAGGCATCTGAGACCTGCTTTCCTTGGCCTGGCACAGTATTTCAAAGAGTTATGAAATTCAAAATTCAAATGTGGCCTTCCAGGACATGATGAAAAATACCAAGTTTTCTAAAAATACCACACCAAAACAAAACAGAAAACAGAACTGCACCTGTGGAATTGCAGTAGTTGGGCATGCAGTGTGTGGACCTCCATCAGCATGCTTACCCTTCCTTCCGTAAGTCGTAGGAGGTAGCGATGGTGTGCAGTGAGCGTACTCTCCAACTTTGCCTCATTTATCAGTTTGCGAGCGTAAATAATTGCAAGCACTAGCTTATCTTTCTTTGTTTTCTCTTTTCAATCAAGTGTTTCCACAGCTCTATTTTCATATGTTGCGTCAAAGAAGAAAGGTGCTTCACGGAGAGGTGATTGTAGAGAAGGATGAGTAAGGATCCCTACAAACAAGGTGCTTTTTTCCAGAATAACCGGGATTACTTGCATCCACGTTTTAATAACAAGAATCAACAACTTCACGAAAGATCACGGATTGTATTGTTGCTTAAAATATAATTCGAAACACACGGTGTCTACCACTGTTTGTCTTCATATTGTGTCAAGTCTGTTTTTTTACAAGGACTGTGCAAATAGTGTCAGCTCCTGGGTAGGTCTCGATCATTTAGAAAATAATTGGATGTAATATGTGGGGGGAAAATTTTGTTAGTTTTAGTTAATTTTTGCAACATATGGTTAAGGCTTTTTAAATCAATGTTTAGGTCCTGAGTTCAATCCCTGGTACCAAAAAAAAAAAAAAATGACTTTAGAAATTAGCTTAATAACTTCATATTATGACACCTGCCAGGGACATTTATGTGATACCTACAAATGAAAATAAATAGAAAATTATAATAACTTACTGGCATAATTACACCCACAATCTCTCTTTCAAATTATAAGGAAGTATTTATGGCTAAAAATAATATTTGAAAGTAGGAATAATTGGCTGTTTTGTTTTTGTTGTTGTTGTTGTTTGAGACAGAGTCGCACTGTGTAGTTGAGACTGACCTGGAACTCTATGTAGTAAAACTTTTAATATAAAGTAGCAGCATGAAAACAAATATTCAAGACGTCACAATGATTTCCTTTTCCTTTTTCTTTTTTTTCTTTTTTCTTTTCCCCTGGAGATAAAAGCAAAGGACCTCATACATACTCGGCAAATGCTCTACTACTGAGCTACACCCACAAGCCCAGAAAAACATTCTCTGAAAATATCCCTCAGTCACTGAACTTACTTGTTAGGAAAATTTGTTTTATCCTACATTAGCTATTTAAAGGCAACATTTCAATTAAGGATTTAAAAAGGTTTAAAAAATGTAAATATATAGTTTTCCCCACTGGATTAAAAAAAAATATGATGTCTGATCTTAATATTGTGCTCCAATCTCTGCTTGGAAAAGGCTCCGATATGACTTTTTATTCTGAATTTCGCTGAATAGCAAAAAGTCTTGTAATAAAGCTCCTGTCCTCGTGTTTAATACAGATACACTGAATTTTAATTCTTAAATAGGTACTTTAAAATTTTTCCCTCCTGTATTAAAGGATGCTGATTTACTGACCAAGTTTAGAGAGAGAATAAGTATGTAACAAAATAACCCAGAAAGAACTTTTTGCCTTCAAAGATACCTAAATATAATTCTGCTTTAAATGTTCTGTATTGTTTACAGTTACAACCAGTATGTAACATTACACTTTTCAAAATCACTTGATGGTGTGAACCATTTGTTTTCCTCTAGATATTCAAGAGTTCAGAATAGTTTTGCAAACTTATTTTAAGTAACTTCATGAAAGGTGCTATTTCTTTCGTAATGGTACATTTTAATGTTTTCCCTGCAGCTGAGTGTTTTGATGAGCAAAATGTATTAGGTTACTGATTCTCAAAATGTCACTGTTCTGCCCTTACACCACTCAAGCAGTTTTAATCCTGAACTTCTATAAGGAATGATTTTTCAGGGAGTTTCCCCCTATGGTAATGTAGTATATGAATTTCGCATACTTACTTCATTAAGTACCTGTCCTGTGAAAAATATTTTCAGTCCTATTCCTAAAATTTGATAATTCGATTTGTACTCCCTCCAAGCAGCTGTAATACTCTCCACCACCACCCCCAAGCTGTGGAACATCTTGAAGTGAGAACTGCGATTAATAAAAGCGAAACACGTCAAACTATGTGGTGAACTACGTTGATATCCTCAAAACATTTCTAAACCCTAGATTTAGAATGGTTATCTTCTATAATCGGCCAATTCTCAACTGTCATTTGTGTAGAAAATAAAGTGCTAAGGTAATTTGACTTTAAAAACAAAAAATATTTGGAATTCCTATGCTTTATTCTCTGTGAATGCATTTCCTTTTTAATTTCTCCCTAATATGGTCTTTGAATGGGCAGATCGTAATGTATTAATTAGATAGGAATACAGTAACATCCCTGATAGTTATAACTTACCGAAAAAGCATGCCAAAATAAACGTAAGAAAGTCATTTTCATCAAAAGGCTTTGTAACTTGACACCTGCAGATTTTCCAAAGTGTTATTTTTGCATAGGTATTTTAAATGTCTAATTATTCTACTGCTCCTGGTTTCTAGTGATATATTGCAAACAAGAAAAGAATCTTTTAGTAATCCTCCCCACCCCCAGAAGGTCTGTATTTATTTTTTGCCTATTGTGTGGCAAGTAACCTTGTAGGGAATTAACCTCTCCCTTCTATGTTGTCTCTCTCCACCTTAACTCAGTAACGGGCACAAAAGCCAGGTTAGATTGGTTAGAAAAATAACTATCAACTTCATCAAAATACAGTGTGTTGGTAGTACGTGGTACTTCAGGGCACCACTAAATAGATAACATTCTGACTTAGGAATGCTTTCAGACACAATCAGTTACACATTATGCAACTGAGAAGACATCATTAAGCGAACACGGGAGGAAAAATAACTAAAAAGTGACATTTCGAATATCTTTCAAACGCATGTGTGAAGTGCAGAGGTATTTTCCTTTAACATACACAGAGGTCTGGATTCTACAGAATTGACAGAAAAAAAACCCCACAATTTTATAGTTTCACACCTGAAGTCATTGACACCCGTAGATTTCAGAAAAAGATGTATTATAATTTGCTTGTAATTTTGGTCTACATTTATAATATACCTAGACATAAGTGGCTCTAGGTAGAAAATTTAAGAATACAGCATTTATATTTTGAGTGTTCTGGCTATAGCTTTATAATATTTCTGTCACTTTTATTTTGACATAATTTTTATCTTAAGAAATGCTGCTGGGAAGAGCTAGAACGCCTTCCCTTGAATTCCTCACCTGTAGAGTTTTTCCCATTGGCTGTAGCGTTCTCTCTCTTTATAGTACTTTGAGAACCATTTCCAAATAAGTGTGTATCACGCACGACAGGGACCTGCTCTTTCTTTGCTGTAGTTCGGTGATCAACATTAGGAGGCCGACAGCAGTGCGGACCTTTGCTCCACAGACTTGGAGGGGATTCCGGCGCATTCCCGTGTGTTCCGGATCAAGATCCTCTCCGGCTTCCAGGATCGCGTTTCCCTGTCGTCTCTTTTACGCTTGAGAAGCTCCTGATCTTGCTCTTCCTCTTTCCTGACTTTTGGCACTTGGAGCAGTAGGAATGGTTGTTTTGCAGAAAGTCCCTCAGTTTGGGTTGGTTTGAGGTTTTATGCACCTCTGGGCAGAAACATCGATTTGTTCTGCTTTCCTGTAGTATTAACTTTGATTTTTAGGATTTTTGTTTGTTTGCTTGGTTGCAAAGTAATACCTAGATATTTTAAAAATAGTTCTTTTGTTCTAATTCGTAGGAGCTCTCTGTGAAATGATATATTGGGATTTTTTTTATTTTTATTAAATGAATGTGCCTGGGCTCTGATACATGAAGATTGATGTCTTTTTTAACTGTTTAAAAGGTATCGAATCCTTTATCCATTTCCAGGCTTATTATTAACTCAACCTTTATATTGACTTTTATGCCACTAGATTATGTTCTGTAAAATTCTATGATTAATTAATGTACTTGTATTTTGCTTAGAAATTCTTAACTAAGGCATATGACGACTATATAGTCACACTGTTTATTTTGCCTTGCTAAAATTGTATGTAAGGCAAGGTTGAGATTGGCATAAAATACATTTTTGTGATAATGCCCTTCCTTACCTTACATTTTAAAATGCAATTTATACAATGTGAAAGTTTAAAAATATTCTTCAAATTCTTCAAACTACTTAATACTCTGTGGCTTAAGTTAGAGGATAAGGGCCATAAAAAATGTATTCAGAACATGGCTTCTGTAAGAATCATCTGAGGGCTTGAGTCCTTCCCTCAGAGTTGTGGCATTAGCAGCTCTAAAGCAGGGAAATTTGCATTTTAAACAAGGTCTGGGCAGTTTAGTTGTCCCACTAGCTTCTTTAAGAAGCACTATAATAAATATCAAGGGCAAGAAAAGTATCATAAAATACTATTTCATTGTATTGAATAAACCTGAAGTGAGTATCCCTATAGTCATTCCTTAGCATGTCTTATAAGAATGAACACTACAGCTTTAAGTTTAGTAAAAAGGGGAAAAACAATATGTGGCAGGAAGTACTAAGACATTTTGTATATGCTTTTTTAAAGCATATTTTATATCCATACAACTTATCTGTTGATTCACCTAAGCATAAGATAGTTAACAATAATAAAATCCAATCAGATTTTGTGGTTTTTGCACTGTTTTAATAACATGAAACAATGGATATTACATAGACTATATTAAAAGTTTATTGTGTATTGGTACTGCTAATTGAATAGAACTGTATAGAACTTCTAGTTTTGCCCTTTCTTTTTCCACTAAGCTTTCCCCCAGTACACACACACACAGACACACATCCCTTAGAGAGGATTATATCAAGACTGTGGGAAACGTATATGCTTCTGTTTTTGAGAAATGTGGACAACAGAAAGTAATGGTAACTTGCCTGGATGGTTTTTAATTTAATCATAAGTTGGCTGAAATAGGTTTGTGGCTAAATTAATGTGTTCAGAAACCAGTTTTATTGAGTTAAACTTTAAGTGAACTTTATTAAAAAATTTTTTTTGGTTTTTTTTTTGAGACAGGGTCTCACTATGTAGTTAGGACTGAGCTGGAACTCACTATGTAGCCCAGGGGGGTCTCGAACTCACAGCGATCCTCCTGCCTCAGCCTCCTGAGTGCTGGGATTACAGGCATGTGCCACCATACCCGGCTTTTATTAAAACTCTTACAACACAAATTAACTTTAGGAACTGAGGAAATAGTTTAATTTACATTGTGTATTCAAGAAGAAAAAAATGGCAAGCAGTTTTCTGCTCTGAGAATGATTTTGAGCATACCATTTTTCTGCAAACTGCAGCTGTATTACATGCATAGTATTTGCTTCAAAATCTGGCATTACTTTTTGCTTCAACTTTGACATCGATGTGTATATGAAATCATAGCATGAAAAGCATATTTTATGAGTTAAAAGTTTCAAAGTTTCAAAATTTCAGAATAACTTTTTTTGAGGAGTAGATACTATTAAGTAGTATGAAATAACAATGGTAGGTAGCAAAAGATGATTGTGAGCAGAGCAAGTGAAAAGGCTTTGTAAAAAGCATTATTTTGTGGTACACCTGTAATCCTAGCACTCAGAAAGCTGAAGCAGGAGACTTGCCGCCCAGCCTGAGAGCCATGTAGTTCAAGACCAGCCGAACTGCACAGAGAGGCCCTATCTCAAAAAACAAAGCAAGTATTATTTTGTAAAAATGTTGATTCTTTTCCAGATTGTATGTTCAAAGTCATGAAACATCATTGACCCCGGAACGTTGCTAATTGTGCTTATGGAGTTATGCTTTATATTTGTGTTTATGCACACTGGTTTTGAAAAGATGTTTCAAAAATACTCTTGTGAATGAGCCTTCGATGCACATTTGCCTTATGAACACTCATTT